GTACCTACTACAGACTCACACGGACGGATCCCTTACTCAATCCACTTACCCTGTTGAAAAAAAATGGATTTTTCGGGACAACAAGGTAGGTGGACTGAGTGGGGGAGCCGTCCGTGCGAGTGGTATTTCTGTAGTAGGTACAGTATCTAACTAAAAACAAGCTAAATAATTTCAGGCCTGACGAAGGTGCTACGCACCGAAATATCGCAAGATAAGATATTTAAAAAAAACTTTTGAGACTTTTGCTGTCTTTTGAGTTTTTTGGAATAAACTTTTGGAGTTTCACATTGTTACTGCACATTTAGCCAAATATCGGTAGAAATAAAAAAGCAAAAAGAGGGCAAATTACAGCTAATCTCGCTCACATCTCGCCTGAATTTTCCGGAAATGATATTGTCGAGGATAATTTTACCAATATTACCCAGCGAATTGTCCTTACCACCGAGACCCATGATCACATTTCCAGCAACGGCACCTGAAAATGAAGACAATAGACTTCTTTAGAGAGTATGTCAATCATAATAACATCAAGTAATAACAAAGTGTTGCACAGAAGTAGGTGTTGGGACCGGCATCTCACGCCGCAAGCCCTGTTTATAGTTAAGACACTGCTGTCGGCTGCTAGGAGGTTTACCATATGTTTCTGCAGTTCTCTATTTTGAATCCATCTCATCTATGTAACAAAAACTCCCAGAAACATTCGCAGCCACCAAAATTGACACAGAAGCCTCCTAAGCAACACAAAACTATAGCTCCGTATTTAGCACAGAGTGTTAGATTGAAGATAGTTTTTTTTTTGAGGGGAACGCGCCCAAATTATCTGGTTCACTCAACACTGCAATATTGTGAGCAATGTAGCACTTCAATCGTTGAACCAGTTAGATTCAGGTGCTTATGCCGCTGCAACGTAGTATTGCCATTGCAAGCTGCCCAATGACTTGGCTTCAGACTCCTGTGGCCTTTCACCCTTCAGCTCACCATACTGGAACAGAAGTTCGTAAATTGGCAATGCCAAATATTAGGTTCAAAGTCTCGAGGATTATCCAAGAGATTCTGACCCCGCAACAAAACAACGACAGGGGTTTACTACATGGCTTCAACTCCCTTCCCTTGGGAGGAAATCGAAAATTTCGCGCTATTCACCCCTTACCGCCCCAGTTTTCCAAAATCAGGCTCATTTTATCGATTTTTTTTCTTGAAGAGCAAATTAAGGTGAAAGTCTCCCTCCAGGAATAGTTTCACTCCCTGAGTACGATTATCACCACATCCACTTGACGCACACGCCACAGGCGCCGGCGCCGAAATACCGTAGATTAACGAACTAGCTGTAAACTTCCTCCCACGGGGTAGATTATCTCTCTGAACACGACTGTCACATCCGGTTGGCACAAAACAGCCTGGCCCCCTGCACCAGATGAGCAAAAGCAGACTGCGCTGCCACATGTACTGTTCTATCTGGCTAGCCAGTACCGTATTGTCAACTGGGTCCCAGCTTACTTCAACAGTAATAATTACTCATGCAGTTGTCGAACATCTGTGCACCAAAATCACCTCGGCAAGACTTCGCAAGAGTATTCACCCTAAATGATGCCCCTTCCCTATAGTTATCTCCCTCGTCACCCCATGCAGATGTGATAGTTCTGTTCACGAGTCAAACCACCTCTGAGAACAGATTTTCTCTCAGTCTGCTAGCTTGAGATATCCTGGTGGGGATGGAAGACCGTATTGTCCCGAAAGGATGCGATACAGGGGGTCAAACAAACCCCGGGAAAATTTCCAGACAAATCGCACTTTCAACCCGAACCTCGGAAAATGGGGTAGTAAGTGCCGGAAGAGCCGGAAATTCTGTTAGCGTTTCCGAAATTCTCGAAAAACAAGGGGAACAACTTCATGCATCTTCTGCGTTATTTCAACACGGCACCAGGTTGTCATGAAATGGAACTGGACGACCAAGATTGATGCATAAAGATGACCCCCTCAGGTGACGCCATGCACGCAATCTGTCCCTCGCCCACACTCATAGGTTCGTGACCAAAGTTTGCGAATAACAAAACTAGCGATTCCGCATTTTTTTGTAAGTTTAATGAATGCCAAGTGTAAGCTGTCAGAGAGCAAGATGGCAAAAGTTTTTATCGTAATTTCCAATCCCAGCATGGCTTTGGGATGGTCGAAATGTCACAATACATTTTCAAAAGGTAGACAAATACGTTAAATATTCTGACGATGGTGACGCTTTCAGTGAAAAACAGGAAGTAGTAAAGGGATTACTCCCTCTAGGAAGTAAAGCACAGGGATATGTAAGCGAAAATATCGGTAGCACCACTCACCAATAATACGTCCAGTGGCTGGATCAACCCCAAGGAAACGATGTGCAGCTTCACCGATGAGATTTCCAAGAATATTCACCACTCCTCCATTCAATCGATTCGGATTAATATTACCTCCTAAAAAAGTCAACTCCTTGAGCACAAATCCAACTCACTAACATCAGATCATTCAATGCTGATCGCTGAAAAAAGGGAAAAACGCAAACTTGAAGTAGTACCCACCTCCTCCACCATATTGGCCTCCACCTCCACCAATGAGGTTACCGATTCCTCCTATTATGCTGCCGATATCTGTACCACCACGGCCGCCGCCACCTCCACCACCTCCGCTAATCGTGTTGATAATACCTGTAACTTTCAATATTGTGCAATGATCTCAACTGAATATGGCAGTCACAATATAGCCTCATGAGTACATCAAGCCAAACAACCTGAACATAACAGAGCTGAAAATCGACAATGTATACTACTAGAATAACCTCCAATATCGTTGAAATTGAATCCTCCACCACCACCTTGTCGTCCTCCACCGCCACCTCCATAGCCTCCACCTCCATAGCCTCCATCGTCATAGCCGCCGCCACCGCCGCGATTTCCTGAAAACGCGATTTTCATCAAGAACATATCATTTTTTTTGTCCGTGTGCAGCTGGTCGGTTCCGAAGCCACGCATGGTGTTTTGAGCGCTTGCTTGGAAAATTCTCACAGAAACAGAATGACGTGATTTTTTTACGTGAGGCTCACTGCAAAACCAACCAACTGCACGAGATCGCCTACACGCATTAGTACAATGGGGCACAGAAAGCTTGTACAATTTCTCATACTGAGAAGACAAGTCAAAAGGCATGTGATCACCAAACAATATTCATCCAGCCACCTTACACCCACTACTCAGAAAAACGAGCAAGAAGCATACAAGGGGGGGGGGCAATGAAAAAAAGACATTTAAGAGCACGCTGCACGTTCGGACCTCCAACAAGGGTGTCGTATTTAGTTGATGGAGGGAGAGAGAGAGAGTGGTATTCGCCTAAATGAAAAAAGTTTTCGTTATTGACTTTTCTCCGTCTCTCATGCTCAAGCGCATAATCATAATCTTTCCCCCCCTCCCCCTCTCCAGACGCCCAAACCTTGTTCACCCGCTCAGCGATAGTTTTTTTTGCCTAGAAGTTCCGCGAAAAACTGAAAAAAGGTGGTAGAAAGTTGGAAGAATCCAGGATGATGGATGGGGAAGGGGACCACACTACAGGAGGAAATTTCAAGGAGAGGGTCGTAGTTTGCAAAACGCCCAACGCCAGGACGTGACCTGGCGGTATACACCTAATTGCAGACGGCCGGACTGACCCGCTACGCCACTACGTCTAAAGCTGAAAGCGTGGGCACGACGGCTGAGGCGGCGGTTACTGCCAACGTCACTGGTGGCAAAGGAGGCGACAGGGCGTTTGGCCACACCCCATTCAGCCCGTTCACCAGAGACGTTGGCACTCCCAGCCATCGTGCCCACAGCCAGTTGCTCGATTTTCTGACCAAGCCTTCATATGACCGCATTCCTCTGTGATCAAGCCTGTCTGGCATTAAACAAGAAATACAAGAGTGAAAGAAGAAGCATGTTAGAATTCAGAAAAAGCCAACCTCCACCACCTAGGAAGCCGCCGATGATGTCACCCATTGGGTCACGGCCTAAAGCTCACATAATAGCACATACTGTAATCAAGCACAATCAGAAAATTTCAGTTGTGAAATTTCGATTGTAGAGTAGAAACCAGTTCATGCAAAACTGACAATGACATTCTATTAGAACTACATCTACCTGATGCCTGAAGAAACATCACAGTAAAGCAGACAGTAACGAACAGCAAATCTATCTGTATGTTTCATGCACAAAACCACAGAAACCGTTCGACATTTCAACGGCAATGTCGTGACTTCGGAACGTCCACAGTCAGTTAGTGACCACACATAAACAATGACACATTCGGAGTCGAAACGTGTTACGGTTTTCGGGGTTCTCAGCAAATTATCAAAGCAGCAGCCTCTCCCGTACAATCGGTAGTGAGAACATTCTGGCTATACATACGGGTTCCACCGAACCTCTTTTGTCTTCTTTTCGGCCACCGATCAATCCGCCAAGAAAATCGAGCGCTTTGCTGCCTTTAGACTTATGTTGTGGCGGTGGTGGCTCCGGTTGTCCACCGCCGCCGTAGAAGCCGCCGCCTCCGCCATCATAGTTATTATAGCCACCTGAACGACACAACATGGAACACACAACAGCACACGAACAACGTTTAATTTCATCTCAAAGCGCAATAAGCAGTGAAGAACGGGTACATAGATCAGATCGAAAGCTGCACTCATTTTCGCGCTGGATTCATCAGATCTGGGGAGAGGATTTAGGGGAAATCCCACTTGGGAGCGAAAACTATCAGCGACAGGTAGTGCAAGTTTTGGCGTAAATTATCAGAAATGGCAACGCAGCAGTGTTACTTGCTCGGGGTTAAAAACAGCGAAGAAACAGGCTGAAACCCTCAGCGAATAATGTACGACTAGTCCTAACAGGTACGCTAATTTTACCCCGTTCCTTACTCTCCTTGCTCGAAGCTGTAGATCATGGATCATATCGTAAAGAGCAAAAGAATGGAGGGCATTTTTTGTCGAGGATTTTTTCCAATCATTAATTCCCCCATTGTTGGCAAAGTGGCGGAGGAGGTCGCTCCCTTATCAAGGTAAAATGTTGGCGAAATGCGGAAGATTGTGGGTAGACTGAGGGGGAGGTTCCTGCCGAGGGAGAAAAATTGGAGAAGAGGCCATGGTGTACTTACATGACCCATCCCAATAACTTAATTTGGGTGGTTGAACCCCGGTAGTGTAGTAGTGAACCCCCAAGGAGTAGCAGATAATAAGGACTGCGAACGACTAATGGAAAATGGTACTAATGGTGCTCAGCACCGAAGCTATGTGTCCTGCAGTAAAACAAGATTAATAAGAAAAACGGGATTTAATTGGGATCCGGGTATGGAAATAGTTTTTGAGGAGCAAAATACATCGAGAGCACCCAAACCAAGGACTGGCTTCGGATATCAGAAAGAAAACAATTACAATCACATGTACGCAAATAGAAACTCTAAATGGAAGCAAATCTAAAATGACAAATACATAAGAAGGCACACCAGCCAACAGTTGTTAAGAAGGCAACGACTTGAGAAAGATAGTGCGAGTGCATCATAGCAGCATATGAAGGCGAAGGATATCGGAAAAGAGTTTCCAAGGAGATAGAACAAACAATTACCACATTTGGAGGTTAGACTACACATGAAAACGTCTAAAGAATCAAATGAAGGCGGAACTGAGAAAAAGAATCTAGGTCCATAGCACGGGACAGAAAAGGCATTACTGAAGTTTGAAAATGCATTGAAAAAAACTCGTACCTCTACCACCGCCGCCACCACCACCCAGTACATTATCGGCAAGTCCAGCGAGAAGGTATCACCGCCGGTCACCTGCTGGGCAATTCATAGAAGAACGGTAGAAAACATCAAAGAAAGAATAAACGAATTAACAATAGAATCAGTATAACTGCGTGGATGAGGGAATAAAAGCTTCAAATCATTGAAAAGGGCAGGTTGGACTGAAGGTAAGTCTAATCTATTCATCATCCAGGGCTATATACCCTTTAATGCTCGCCTTCAAAAAGCCACAAAATGTTATCTTCATTTATTTTTCTGGCAACCGAGAGGTGTAGATTACCAGAACGTTTCCACCGCGACCAATTTCTCCCAATTCCCAAAACAAATTTCACAACTGTTTAACGCTACAAAACATGGCACAAGACCAGCGCAGTTCCACTTGGTGGGGGCAGCAAACCCAAGCGCTACTTTTTTACCATTTCACACCGCTACGGCCTAACAGTTTATAGGTTTTACCAAAAATTGGACCTACCAATTCACGTGACCTTGCAAAACGATCTAGCGAAAGAGCAAAATGCTCCTCCCAAGCCGAATAGCGCCCACCAGATCTCCTCACACTATTAAGTTTACTGTTATGAACTTGCCACACTCATACGAGCAGTTATTCTATGACCAGTCGCCTCGCCGGCTGACGCCGGCGCGGCTCCTTCTGATACGGCCCGGCTGCGCCGGGCGGGCGCGGCTTCGCCGCGCGTGCTTTCTTTCACATATTTCTAGATTCAACTGATATCCCCTTTTGTTCTGTACTCCACTTTTTTCCGGTGTCTGAAGTACTCTTGAGCTATTTTACAGATTCTTCGTCTGACTCCGCCCACCTCGGAGCAGGCCCCGCCCACAATGTTTTTGCTCCACACTCTCACCGACGACCCTCTGCTGACCTTAATCCACTTTTTTTCCGGTGTCTGGAGTATTCTGGAACCGTTTTACAGACCTTTTTTGTCTGGCTCCGCCCACCTTGCTCCACAATCTTAACCGACGGCTCTGCTGACCTTAATCCACTTTTTTTCCGGTATCTGGAGTGTTCTGGAACCGTTTTACAGACTCTTTTTGTCTGGCTCCCGCCCACCTGGACAGGCGCGCGGGCTGGCCCCGCCCACAATATGTCTACCCCATATTTCTCAATCGGCGACCCCTTGCTGACCTGAATCTTTATTCCGGTCTTCGGAGTGCTCTGGAACCGTTTTACAGACCTTTTTGTCTGGCTCCGCCCACCTCGGAGCAGGCTCCCCACAATGTTTTTGCCCCACAATCCATCAACCGAATGCGACCTCTGGATCGATCCTTAATCCACTTTTTTTCCGGTATCTTGGAGTGTTCTGGAACCGTTTTACAGACCCGTTTTGTCTGGCTCCGCCCACCTCGGAGCAGGCTCCGCGCCACGACAATTTTTTTTGGCCCCCACAGTCTTAACCGACGACCCTCTGCTGAACTTAATCCACTTTTTTCCGGTATCTGGAGTGTTCTGGAACCGAGCTACAAACTTTTAAAATGAATACCCTGCGATTTAGGGCAAGCTCCGCCCACTGTGGGGCGCGGGGGGGGTCCCCCTCCTCAGACACACTTTGAGGTGCCGCTGAATATTCGCCAGATATTTTACATTCTACTATTGAGCTTTGTCTTGCGACCTTCGAAAACTCTCGCTGCCAGCGGGAAGGCGAATTATGGAACATTTTTCTGCGGAACCCCAAACTTTCGGGGAGTGCCCGCCCACTGTGGGCGGAGCTTCCCTTAGGTCAAGTGTGCTTTTTATTTCTTGTCCCACGCCCTACCCATCCCCACCTTGACCGGACCTCTCCAAGTCGTTCTTCAGGTCGAACCGAATTTCCGGACAGACAAACTTACAAACTTACAAACAAACAAACAAACAAACAAACAAACAAACAAACAAACAGACAAAGCGAATTATATATATGGGGTGATAGCTAGGACAAGTGAAGCATAGCCCATTCGTGCAAGTCCAAAAGCGCTCTGCTCCTCCAGCCACGATACAGGGCCGGTCGAGAAAGTTCCCGAAACAACCAAAATCAGAACAGGTAGCGCTTGCGCGAAAATAGGTTTCCAAATACAAGCTATAGCTATAGCAACGGGTAAATACAAGCTTCCTGTGACCCTGGGGATGCCCCACTTGTGCAGGTAACCTCCCAGTTGCCGCCCACTCTACTGTAAGCGTTAGATAACAAACCCTGCATTACTGTAATCGTCGAGCTCCTCCTCAGGGAAACTTTCGAGCAGGGCGCATCCGGAAGTTGGGAAAACTACGACCCCTGACCTCTCCCCACTGAATCTACCCTTTGTAAGACACCCTTCCCATCCACCATATCGAATACCATTTTCCCCGAATTCCCCAAGTTACATCCACTTTCCGCAGTTCTTTTTTTCTGAGGAAAAAAACGCTTCTCAGAAAACTGCCGTTGAGCTGGAGAGGGGGAAGAGTATGCAGCACACATGAAGTAAGAAAAAACGAAGAAAATCAACATCTTCAGATATTCTTCTCGAAAAGCACATAAGACAGTCCCTTCCCCCCTTTTTTTCAACGACCTGTTATGACCCCTCGCGCTGGGATCCCCAGACAATGACGAGCCCTGTTCTCGAGTGAGCGGAGCGTACTCTTGCTGGGGATCTCCAAGGTATGACGAGCCCTGTTCTCGAGTGAACGGAGCGTAAAACAATTCCGAAGATGGCAGTTCGATATCTAGAAGCATAGGTATCGATCCATTCATCCACATCCTATCCTTGCTCTCAAAAAAACTTCACTAAAGCGCTGCCTCAAACCGCTATTAAAGGGATTCAAACAATCGGTATTTTTGAACCAACCTTTTGATCACCTTCTATTATTTACTCACGTCAAGGCACCATTGTCAGAGAGTAAACGTACCCTGTCTCTGATGAGATTCCCAGCGATATTCCCGATCAGACCGCTGAACTCGTCCTCCTTGACAACAACCTAAAAAGGTACACGTTACCTTCTTCTCTTTCATGTACAGTCGCGGAAAAAAAAGCTTGGATAAAACCCAAATCGTGCGCCTTTGATGCGCTTCACTCTGAAAACTTTCAACTGCACGATGAAAAGTCGTTTGCCCCTAATGCAGCACTCCGAAAAAGCTACTCTGAAAAAAGTTGTTGACTGAATTCGTTGCAGGGAAAGAATTTTGAAGATTACGGTGATGAGGCACATTGAGTAAGGGAGGAGGGGGGGATCTGCGGGTGGGGTGCGGACTGCCAATGTAGCAGTCGACTTTTTTGCCTCCTCAGGCGAGTCTGCTACTAACTAGCTTTCACCGCAGGCACGAAAAACTCAGTTGGTTCAGGACCGAAGCAGATTTCGTCCTTTGAACCCCAGACCAAGCTTGTGATAAGTGGCGCCACTTGTCACTGCACTATACTCGCTTGAGCGAAACTTTGATATTATTGGATTATAACATTAACTTCGTAGCTTCTGACCCCAATACTGGATGTATAAAAAGAGATTAGATAGATTAGAACAGATGAAATCTTTCCAAGGGCTTTGTTCCATTTTTTTTTTCCGCGGCTCTATCTATACAATACGTATGCTTTGTAAACCTAGCGCATTCAGCCCTCATGACCTCTTTCCCCATCGCACCCTTCTGAGTTAGACGAAATGGCCGGATGAACAAAGCAAGATTGTCCGAAAGAAAACCCTCCACAGTACCTTCTGCATGACCTCTTCGTCAGCCATGGTTGCTTGCTGTGATTGAACGTTCGTGACGGTAGTCTTCTGGTAGTGTTCCTCGTTCTCAACGGCTCGATCGGTGTCTGAAATCAATTGAAAACTGAACAAAACCTTAAGAATGCTCGCTTCAAAAGAATGAGAGAAGAAAACGCCGAGCGAGAATGAAAGTTAAGTGAAGAATTTTCGTGCGAGAACCTCGAGGATGAGTAGAAGAGAAATTCAAGAGAAATGACAATGACAGAGAGGTAATTCTGATGCCATATATGTAAGTAACTGAGGACCAAAAAGGATACAGCTTCTGTCCTTGGTGAACCCCCTTCTTATATGGTCGCTCGCATTCTACAATTCGGAATCAATTCAGTATCGCAATGGCTTGTTGAATGCGAGCCAATAGATTTCCTGGGTCAGCCAAACCATTGTAAATCCTCAGATTCCGGTAAGAATACATCGGCTCGGAGAGATCAGGCGTGAAGAATTGCAAGATCGGAAAAATGGAGAATCAGCGGAAGATTAGATACATATCTATTGAATGAGCAGCAATGAAGACTGGGCAATGAGTGATTTGCAGAAACAGATATCATCAGATAGGTTTCGACTCGTTCGCGCGGATTATGGAGCGTGCCACGGCTGTGTTCGACATGCCTCCAGCCCGCTCTCCCCCAGTTGTTGGACCCGGTAGGCAGCAACAATGGTGGAATGGTACAGTCCTGTTGCTTGCCGAACGGGTTGACGCCACTCCGACACGCCGTGTCATCCACTGTGAACAAGGCCATCTCCGATCTTTTCCGAAATTTCCTTGATTTTCCTCATCAATGCATAACGCCTTCCGAGCATTCTGCTATTCTCTAATGTAGCAACGCATGTACACGGTTTGAGTAGGCCCGGTAAAAAGTGAAGCCTGAGAAAAATGGACCGTGCAAGCGAAAATTTCAAAAAGGCGAAGCGGGACGTGATGCATGGCTTTGTATACCAGTAAATTAAGAATGCGATCATTGATGCGGGTGAGCGAAGCTGAAGAATTCAAATGGAAGACACCTTTGAAAGAATCCACTTTCGAAACCCTCTGAATAGTCCATACCAGTGAAAACCACCGCGTACGTGCATGGATAGAATAGGAGGGGGGGAGGCAAAAAAGTGTGAACGATACATTCTCACGGTTTAAACATTGACGGATTTAGGGCAACTCGATCTCATTGACACCCATGGGCGTCCCAGAAAAAGTGATAAGTGCACGATTACTCGAAGCGTTTATAGAAACGGGAGAGAAAAGCTTCAGTCTACGAGGACCATTCAACGGAGCTAAAATAAAAATTTTTCTGTATGCACTTTGTTACTATAGACCTTTATTCGCTTCCTCCCAATCTTGTTGCCTTTATACGAGCACATGGTCCCCTCATATTCTGGAACGTTTTCGCTAGCGTTTATAATGATTTTATAGTCTCTTAATTGCATTATTATATCCGAATTTTATGATGACAGGGCACCTGTTCCTGCTTTAGATGCCTATAAACAGACGCCATTTTGCATTTGGTAGGTTCCAAGATTTTATTCCTTGCAAGCTGCTGGCAATCATTTGTTCACTCCTAGTCGTATTCCGATAAAAATCTCAAACAAATCTTCACACCAGGGCAACCCTTGACGATGTTTCCGCTAAAAAGAACTTTCTACAACCTCCGTATTTCCTTCTTTGATACTCCCCACCACAAACATCCAAAAAATTCTGTTGAGCGAAGTGGACTATTCTACTCTAAGCTACATTACCAGAAACAGTAGGTGCAGCGCCTGCCACGTTTGAGTAAGAGCGTGGAAGTGGTATAACGACTGTAAAACAATATGGATCAATAGTCTAAAAGTCCCCCATGCGGCCGAATACGACCCCTCGCTCGGAGTCCATAACGATGATGCGCCTTTGGTTCTACATTTCTCGCACTCACCAGCTTGCAGTCAAAGAAATCATTCTACATCTAACGTCTGGGAGCTATCCGCGAGACAACGAAATAAAATTGAAGACGAAAAATGTGGAAAAAAAATGTATTTTGGTAACGCTATTGTTCTGCTTCAACTCTATGTTCTGTTAGCTAGAATGAAACTGAGAACAGTCAGAAGAAAAAGTTAAAAATGAAAAAAAAAATGAAAAAATGGAATAATTAATGTGTGCAATTTGTCCATTTTTTGCAAGATGTATTTTCACAATCGCGTCTCATCCTGCAAATTTAGGAAATTCCCGTCAGGTACCCTGTGAACACCTGCCAAGGTTGGCAAAATGGTACAGGCGTCATTGGAAAGCCATTTCTCAATGTTTTTTTTTTCAAATTTTGACCAGTTATTTCGACAAGTATGACAGCAGCTCAAGGTGATTAGCAGGTGATAGTAAGGTTTACAGGTGCCGATAAGGTAATAGAGTATCCACTGTATACGGTTCACTGAATTTGGTATGCTTATAAGTGCTAACAGGTGACCCCCTCCTTCCCCGATATAATTCACGCTGGTAACCGCACTGCATCGTTAAACACATAAAAATGAATTAGGTAGAAAATACTCATTCACCATAAGGCATGGATACTTTGCTATGTGTTCACAACGTTAACTGCGATTCTGGTTAAGAACAGTGTGCAAACAGAACTGGACTGGCACGACTGGCACTGACACAACAACGAACAAAGTATCCAAATGAAAATAAACACTTATTGATTTCCTTATCATGTGTTATAGTTATAGTGAAGGCTTTACCTAGAGCTTGGAAAATTGCCGCCACCATAAACATCAAGAATTAAATGGAAGGTGAATACAGCAATTTTGCAAAATATGCCGAGTAAAACCATTGATGAAATGGAAAACGGCAAGAAGTTCCCCCCCCCCCCCCCCCCCCCCCCCCCAACAATAAAGCAAATCCATGTCATGTGGATCAGAAATCCGAAGGCGAAAGAAATCTCGCAGAGGGAGTCGTACTTGGAGCAGCGCTGAGAGGGGGTCGTTTTTGTGATTGCTGAATGGTGTTTGCATCGATTGTGAAAGGGTGGGAGGTGGTAAGACGCTGAACGACCAGTTCTCTTCAAAATGAAACGAGACATGATTTAGCCTGAAAATTGCCTCTTTTTACTTCTATAAGTAACCAAAACCTGACCCAGCATGTGGTATCAATGTGATAGCGGTGGCAACAAAAGTGGAACAAAGTGGAACAGAGATGGCCGAGGAGACCGCTGGCACCAGAGCAGTGTGTAATGAACAGTTAAGGTGGCTCTATATCAGCGACGCGCCTTTGTGTAAACTCGGCATCGGTCTTTAAACAAGTTGGGGGAAAAGAAGCCCAGCTTGAACAGTCTCAACCTGAGCAATTACCTTTAAATTTACCCCTTTTGAACGCAAGTTTCATAGAAAAACCGCTACTAAGTGAGCCATAACGCTGTGATAGAAGAAAATTTCTGGGCCAATCAATCCCTTTTGTAGCTGCTTTTCGAATGTGATTTGGCCGTGCAATGACATCGAAGTCAAATCTAATCGCCAGAAGAACAATGCTATTTATGCTCCCGCGAAGTTTCTGATACCAACTGAGTGACCCTAGGGGATCGAGGCTGGATTCACGCGTATGGAACAGATTCGAGGTCGAATCAGCATTATGAGCCCGGTAAGCGGTGCCATTGTGCCACCACCTAGCCGTACGAGTTGTAGTAAATAATGCTGTTGTTGTGCTAATGGTAAGTCAGATTTTTATAGAAATGCCTCCTGAATAAATTCAAAAGTTACCAGCAAAAGCAATGTTGCGCGGACAATAAGATTATGATTTCTAATACGATACGTGTGGATGGATGAAAACAATGAGCCACTGCACGCACCACGGTACCACTGCCCGCTACCTCTCGTGTCAACCTCATCACGACCTAATCGTCTATCTGATCTATCTCCTCATCTGCAATGAGTGATGCCATTGCCTTAGTTGAAGGCAGACCCTGTAGTTGCATGCTGTGATTCGGCGTTCAGTTACAAACCTACAGGTGCTAAGTTACTCTCCAGCGAAGAAAAGATCAAAAAATCATAGGCAACACAGTAAGGACCCCCTGACTGCCTCATTTTTCGAGTCGTCAAAATATGCTCATTTCACGCCAGCAAAGGTATATTCTGCCGCCTGGCTGGTCTGGTTCACTCACTGCTTTCGCATCATTGTGGTGTAGTGCTAGTACATCCAGCAGCCTAAAAGAAAAGCAAAAAAAACGCGGTATCAATACTATACTCATGACGCAGAACAGCCTGAGCGGGCCAACTAGGAAGTATTCAGAACTACCGCTGAGGATCGCAGTGCCTTCGTCACCTACTGTGAAGCCGCGAAAGTGGGACAATCTGACCATTAAAAATTAAGATTAAGGACTAGAATACTCGTACAAGAAAGAACGCCTGCGAATCGCATGAGCGCGGGGACACGTCTTAAACCTCATTCGAATTTAGATTCATAGCACTTACGATAGGTTAATGGACTGAGTAATGGATGCACAAATAGCGACATAACTACCAGCGAACAAATACGACAAGGATTCCCGAAAAAATCATCTCTGAGTAGAAATACAAGAATTATTCATCTCCGTATTATTTATGGATGGAGCTGAGGGAGTGGGGGAGGGGGGGGGGAGGAGGAACTTCCGTTTCGTAAGGCAGTTTGCTGGTTCCCAGTGCTGGTTTGATCACTTAGCGGATGGCCTTCTGTGAGTCCTGCAGATTCTTCTGAAGCCAGGGAATATGAGCTTCGTTAACACTTGACAAAAGCCTACAGGTCTTGCCAAAATCAGACCTGTAAGTTAACGGAAACCAGTAGAAGGAACTTCCGAATTAGGACAATGTCCCCCTCCCCCCTAAGCAGGACAGCGGCTGAAGCTATATATTAATTCTAATTTCAATAATAGAGAGTATTTCAGAGGTGACGAAGATACCGAAATATCGCCGAGAAAAATTTCACAGCAATTTGCCAATGCTTTTTTCCAGACAAGGTTTTTGAACCTCTGTATCTTTTTCACTTTCAGTGACAATGAATTTAGAACTTCGATTTGTTATCACATGTTTCACTGTTTTGCAAGAGAAAAAAAATTGAGCAGATTCCAAACTAACAATACCAGACTGGAACAATGTGGAACCGAGAAGAAAAGTGTTACCCAAAAGTAGGAAAAAATGTCTGAAGGTTTGAAGTACATCGAGGCAGTGCGGCATCACAGTCCGAAAATGGTAACAGTAATTTTCTCAAACAATTTTCGACCGGGCAATCCACCGAGCAAGTCTGGTTTTCAAGGCAGCACCAACGATAAGAATCAACATAGCTTTTTAAGGGCCTCAAAGGTCGCACAGTCTTGAGCATCAATTTTCTTGTGTTTGGAACAATTACAAGACCAAATGGTTTCTGGATTTTCGAACAGAGAACATGCGATAAAAAAAAACAGTGTTTAAGGTTATGAGAAATGCAGTTAGCTGTCAGCTTATGAGTTTAGTAGAATTTCTAAGGTTTTTTTTTTTGGTTAGGGTGAGGGCAAAAGAAGTTCTCTACGGAAGGCAGACATTATCAAAAGCACACGCTGACGAGGGCAATGAAAGACCGGAGACAAAGTATTCCTAAGATGATCGCCCATGCAAGCAGAATCGAGATCGCGTGCCGCATCCCTAATAGGGATTGATCATCGGCGAAGACTTTATCGGTGACCTTCAATGTTTCCAACGAAAGGTTGGCTGTGATCCAAAAAGAGCCTGGCAGTGCGAACAAAGCCATCTTTCACGACGAGGAACTCTGACAAAGTTTTAGCGCACAATATTGTCATTTTATCGTCCCGTTTCATTATTACCACATTATCATCTCATTACCATTCACATCCTATGTCACCTGCCTCATAAAAGGGCGATAAAGTCAAGACATGGGCAAAGTACATTGCATTCTAAGCATTGGTATCGAAATATAAGAGAAGTTTTTGCTCTTGCTTTTGAGAAGTTATTATTGTGATAGCATTTCGATAGATCTTTTAACGGTAGAAGTTTCCGCTTAACAAGAGCATATCACTGTTTCAACTCGAGCAATAAACTAGTTTCAATCTCTACTGATAAGCAGAAGATAGCAGCAGTTCCGGAGGAAGTCAACACATCAGCCACCACAAAAAAAGGCTACGGAAAGATGACTAAGACAAGAAAAAAGAGGAGGCAAAATAGAAAAAAAAACAGAAAGAAGAGGTTGACAAAAAAACACCAAGCTGAACCTTCGCTTCCGAGCCATAGAAAAAACTAGCAAGAGTTCATTCTCTTTTTTTTCTTGGGTTACTTGGGTTTATATGGAAAGGTGAGAGCGAACCGAATGCGAACAACCAGTTTATACCCATTAGGCAACAGTGTTTTCGCACCAAATGTTAATATTGGTTCCGATCGATTCTGGCCAGATTGGATGCTTTTTCTTCCATTCGCCAAAGAGAATGATTAACGATTGTGGTAGACAGTGAATGTTCTCACGAAAAAAATTATTCAAAAAAGGTATGTATCTCATCTGTACATTGTAGCATCACAGGTAACACGAACAACGAACAGAGGAAAATAATTAGACCTAGATAGCGCCACCGCCCCTACGAATCCCACTGAGAGAATTCGTGTTCTGTCTCTCTTGAATTCTACAGATTCCCCTTTGGCCCCTTTGGTTGGATAATGCTAACTTCACACAGTGTGAGCCTTACGCTAAAAGTCAGCTTTACGCTGGGTTGGAGCCAGGACACATCGCTGTTGGGAATCCCCAATAGGGGGGTCGTATTTGGCCGCCAGGAGAGGGGGTCGTATTTGGGCTGGGAAAAATTTATTTTGATAGTTGATTTTTCTCGCTTCATGGACGTTGTAAAGGGGGGGGGGGGGGTCGTATTTACGTTTTGGCATTGTAGGAGCGGTGGTTGACCTTTCCTGATTCCCGTTTCATGCGTACTATACCCCCCCCCCTCTCGACGGCAAAATTTTTGGGAAAAAAAGTAGGGAAGTTTTCGGTAATTTTGGAAAAAGTGGCATAAAGTTGGGGAAAATCGGTGAACTGGTAGAAAGGGAGGGGGGCCCTATTGTCTTGCGGCTTTTCCTGTCACATGTGCTATTGACCCCCCCCCTGCTCGACTAGATGAGAAGGGACAGAGGTTGGTGGGGCGGGCCAGTAGTACCCGAATCAAAAAAAAGGAGAGGGTGGCCGTATAGAGCCGACTAAAATCCCCAACCAATGATGTGCCCTGGTTGGAGCTCTACGCAAGGACAGAGAGGTGCCATTTGGTCGCTGGAATAGAAGATCACATTTTTTCTTAAATTTTTTTTCCATAAATTATCATCGGCTCACTTCATTGATCATATCCCGTTACTGAACATTCCATATAATACGCTAGAAATTTCAAATTGTTCAGAACTTCCAATGCTTCAAGAACAATGCGCAAGCTCTGAGGTGGGGATATTTTGATACCTTGTTTTCTGCCATCGAGATTGCTGGATGAAAAAAAATTTTTGGAGGTGCCATGTTTCGACCAGATCGTCGTTCTAAGAGGCTCAAGAAGGGCTCAAGACTTGAAAGTTGCTC